AAGATTACCTATGAGTTAATTAAGGTCTAGAAACTTGTAAACTTAAATGAAATTGAAATTAAATAAGCTGTAAGTCAGAAAAGATAGAAAGCATTCAACCCATTTATATAAACAAAAAAATAAAAATGAATCCATAGAAGAAAGAAAAACAAACCAAATCAACGGGACAGACCCATTTACAAAGTTGAATTGCTTCCAAATTCTTAAAAATTAACAAAAACTGCAATCTTCGAAGATGAAGATGAATATGAACAAGAACAAAAAACCTAAACTAAAACTAAGATCAAGAGCAAGTCTTGCACTCTTTTTTTTTTTTGAAAAGCAAATGAATTTTATTGTGAGTACAAGGGGTACTCAAACCCTTAAATATCAGTACATGAAATTACATGTGGATAATGTGATCAAGACAAAATCATCCACCATTCCTAAAACCAGACCCAGGAAAGCAATACTCCCATCAAGTCTCTATATCCTGTTTGTCAAGCATCTCACTGGATTAGAAATCCATTCCATGTAGGAGAAATTTTCCAAATTCAACAGATTTCTAACCCAGTGAAATGAGCGTGCTTGGACTAGTTCAAATAGCCTATCCTCATTTAACTTCCTATGTTGGAAAGCAGTTTCATTTCTGCCTAACCATAATGACCAAACTACAGTAAACCATAACATGCCCCATCCTTTTTTTAAGCTCTTTGACCCCCTGTGCCATCTATGTTGGGTGAATACATCAATACAAGTGTTTCCTAAGACATAATATAATCCCCACCAATTAAGGCATTTTGTCCACAAATTGTAGGAGGTGCTACAAGCTAGAAAAAGATGTTCTGTATCTTCAGGAAGTTGATCACACCAAAAGCATTTAATATTTTGAGTAGCATCCAAAATTCCACGCTTTGCTAAATTAACCTTTGTAGGAATTCTATCTAAGAGTAATTGCCATGAGAAAGCACTCACTTTTGGTGGGACTTGCGCCTCCCATATTTTTGTGTACTCCAGCAGCCTATTCTCTTCTTTTTTTGCTAGCTGCATATAGGCTGTTCTTGTGGTATATCTTCCCCCGGTCTCTAAGCTCCAGCACCAAGTGTCCGATGCGCCTTGCACTAGTTTTATGTGTTTTATTGTCTCCAACAATTGTTGCAAATTTTCCTCTTCCCAAGCTCTAAGTGGTCTTCTCCACTTGAATTTCCAATCCCAGCTTCCGTCGTTCCAATGTCCCATTTGATTGATGCTGCAATTCTTTTCTGTAGCCAGCAAAAACAGCCTTGGAAAAACATTAGCCAAAGAGGTCCCTCCCACCCATGTGTCTAGCCAGAATCTAACAATTTTCCCTTCTCCCAAATTCATTTTGAAATTCAGAAGCAACCACCTATCTTTGCTACCTACACCCGTGTTTAATTTACAAATATCATTCCACCATGATGATCCTAAGACTCTTTCCTCACTCAACCATGATAACCAATTTCCATCCTTGCTGCCATATTTTTCTAGCAGCACCCTCGCCCAAAGGCCCTTCTCTCCCCCTATTAATCTCGCCCACCATTTGCCTAGCAAGGCTATGTTAAACCATCTAAGGTTTTTTACCCCCAGCCCTCCCTCTTTTTTTGTGTTGCACACCCTGTCCCAGGATACCCAAGCTATTTTTTTGCCTCCCTCAACCCCTCCCCACAAAAAATTTCTCCTAATTTTATCAAGTTCATGGATTACCTGTTTTGGGAGCAGATATACCAACATCAAGAACACTGGTAGGCTGGATAGCACAGCGTTTATGAGGGTTATTCGTCCACCGAGCGATAAGAATCTTCCTTTCCAGACTGAGAGCTTTCTTCTGAATGAGTCTATTAGAGGTCTCCAGGTGGTTATTCTCTTTGGATTTGCCCCCAATGGCATGCCGAGATATTTACAAGGGAGGGACTCGGTTTTGCAATTCAGCATCCATGCCATGCTTCTGATCCAGTCTTCATCTGTATTCACTCCAATTAGAGAGCTTTTTCTGTAGTTTATCTTCAAACCTGACACCAATTCAAATGCCCTCATTATGCATTTTGCTGTCCAAATGTTGTCTTCAGTCGCCTCTCCCATAAAAAGTGTGTCATCCGCAAACTGAAGATGGCTGACTTCTAACTCTCCCTTTCCTATTTTGACTCCCCGGAAGTAACCCTTTGCAACAGCTGCGGAAGTTAGTCCATTTAGAGCTTCTGCCACCATTAGGAACAGGAATGGGGATAATGGGTCGCCTTGTCGGAGCCCTCTTGTCATCGAGAACTCTTTGGTAGCACTTCCGTTGACTAAAACGGACACCGTGTTTGATCTTAAGCATTCTAAGATCCACCCCCTCCATACTATATCAAAACCCATTCTCTCCATCATGTAATCAAGGAAGGACCAGCTCACATTATCATAAGCTTTTTCAAAGTCGATTTTGAAAATAAAGCACCGGGATTTTCTTTTTCGTGCCCCATCAATTGCTTCATTTGCAACAACCACTCCATCTACAAGTTGCCTTCCCTCAATAAAAGCAGATTGATTTTCTCCTATAATTGAGTTCAATGCTTTGCTGAGCCTATTTGCTAGCAGCTTAGCAAGAATTTTGTAAGTGCATCCAATTAAAGAGATGGGTCGATATTCCTCCACACCTTGGGGGTTCTCTGTCTTCGGTATCAAGACAAGAAAAGAAGCATTAGACCCCCTTACCAATTTTCTGTTGCTGTGAAAATCCTTAAGGAATTCCATGATGTCTGCCTTGATCACCTCCCATTCACTCTTTATAAAACCGAAAGTAAATCCATCTGGCCCTGGTGCTTTGGTGCTGTCACAATTCCATACCGCTGTTTTGACTTCCTCTTCTGTAAAAGGCTCAGTAAGCATACATCTATCTGCCTTCGAAATGGTTCTGAATTTGAGCCCCTCTAACTTTGGTCTTGTCCATCCCTCATCAGTAAATAAGTTCTCAAAATACTTCATTATTCCTTGTTTTATATCTCCAACTTGCCTAAACTCTTCGCCCCCTATGGAGATTACATTTATTTCATTTCTGCACCATCTCCCTTTGATGCATTTGTGGAAGAAGCTGGTATTAGCGTCTCCTGTTTTCAACCAGTTTTTCCTTGCTTTTTGTTGGGCCATCTCTTCTTTCAATTGCATATTCTTTAATAATTCAGTGTAGTGTGAGCTTCTAAGAAATAGATCTTCTTTTGTTAAGCTGCAATTTTCTGCTTTTACATCAATTCTGTTCATCTCCTCCTTAGATTCCTCAATCTTTCTATCCACTTCTTGTAATCAAGATTTTGACCAAACCCGAAGGAACTCTTTAGTTTTCTTCAATTTTTCCTTCAAAATGAATCCACCCCATCCCTGGACTGAAATCTCTCTCCATTTTGCTGCAACCATCTCTGAAAATCCCGGGTTTTGTAGCCAAGCATTAAACAGTTTGAATGGCTTTGGACCCCAATTATGTGCTTCATTTTTTACCAATATTGGGGTGTGGTCCGACATAGATCTGTGAAGACCCCATTGCTTCAAATCAGGCCATTTCGTTAACCATTCATCATTGAACAAGAACCTGTCCAACCGACTCATGCATTGACCATTCGGCTGATACCATGTATATTTCCTTCCCAATAGTGGTAAATCCATCAATCCGCTGTTCAAGATGAATTCTTCAAAACCCGTGATATCTCTCCTTGCACTCCTTCCTCCCTTCCTTTCTTGAAGACATCTGATGGCATTAAAATCACCCCCTATGCACCAGCATCCCCTGTTGTTCTTTATTTTCTGCTGAAGTGATCCCCACAGAGTTTTCTTTTTCTCCAAATCACACGGAGAGTATACATTACACAAAATGCACGGGTGAGCTTCAGGTCCCCATAACCCATAAATCCCAAGAAAACCATCACCTTCAAAAACATCTAATTTCTTGAATACCTCACTATTCCAGATTATGATTAATCCTCCGGAGGCTCCCGATGACGGTTTTGCCACCCACTCCATATTGTCGGAGTCCCAGAGTTTTCTACATAATTGTTTGTCTACTATTTCCATTTTTGTTTCTTGCAAAAACAAAATCTCTACTCTGTGCTTCATCACCAATTCCCGCACCTCTCTTTTTTTCCCCACCCCTCCTAAGCCCCTAATATTTAAAGATAACAAAATCATGGAACCTTAGTAGACACCTGATTTCCAGTCAGAATGCTTACCGTGTCCTTATTTCTTCTTTCTCTGTCCCTTTGCTCCATTTCTTCTAGCTTTCGCACCACCGGTATCTCATTCCCTTCTGTTGATACGCCCAATTCCTTGATGCGTCTCCATAATGCTTCTGTGTCTCTACTGCTATTCTTCATATCAATGCTCCTGTTGCAATTCTGGATATTGCTGTCATCTATTGAGTCGTCTGCTATCAGATCTGCTGAGTTTGCTTCGAAGGCCACCTCCTGCTCCATTTTTTCCGTCACCAGCCTTTTCCCTTTCTTTTTTTTCTGCAGCCGAGTGCCTTTGAGTCCGCCTGATTGTATATACACAGATCTGCAGGTCTTTACTCTTCTTTTCTGTCTTTGTTTCTTCTTTCCTTCTCCTTTTCTTGTCCAATTCGGCATCCCCTCTGAGTTACACCCCTCTGAATTGCTGTCCATGTCTTTCCAGAAGCTATCTATTTCTTCATTTCTCCCGTGGCTTGGTTTGCTAGCATTCTTTTTGTTGGGCTTACCCAAAGATAATGGGTTTAACATTTCATGCTTTGGCCCATGCTTCTGTAACCCGTCTTTCCCTTTTTCTGATGTTTTTTCCTTTGCTGGCCCAACAGGCCCATTTGGAATTCCCCTCTGCTCCATCGTGCTACTTTTTGTGCTGCATTCTATGTTGTTTTCCCCTGAAGCCTCGTCCGTTGTTCCCAATTTGAAAGTCCCTCTGCTGCTTTCTTTTTCTTTGTTGTCTTCCGAATCTGTTCCCCTCCTTCTCACATCCCCCTCGAGCCCATCGAGCATTAAATGTTTTCCCGTTGATCCTTCCTTCCTGCTCACTGCCCTCTCCTTTGGTCTTTTAGACAGTCTGACCATTCCTTCTGTCACGGAGGCTCCATCTTCTGTCCTTTCAGCTGTGTTCTTCTCTTTCTTCTTATTATGGTTATTTTTTTGAATTTGTTGACTCACCCACTCCGCCGCTGATGTGACATCTGGTGAGTGGTTCGCTGCTTCCAAAGCTCCCTCGCCATCTTCCCCGTCTGTCTCCGGCACCGGCAGTTCGGTTGCCATGTAATCGTCTTCTTCCTCGCCCTTGGTATGTTCTGAGTCAAAATATTGAGACCCATGGCCTGCTTCACTCTCTGAATCTTCTGTTGGCCATTCTTCCTCACTTTTGTAATCGCCTTTTAATTTAAAGTCTGTATTCATTATATACAGACTATTGCTTGATTCCTCCTCTGAGAATTTGATTTTGTACACCACCCCATTAATCTTTATGGTTAGGTGCTTTGAGATGTATTCCGTCACAGGAGTTGAAATGAGGAATCTAGCAACATCAAGGCGTTTTTTCTGGCTAGTGCTGTCATCCACAGAGATGAATGTACCCCAAAGATTTCCAAAAGCTTGGAAGTATTCCGGTTTCCATGCATGTATAGGTAGACCCAAACACCTAATCCATGTGAACCTTTCTGTTGCCACCACCGTCGGGTTCCATGGTTTGATTTCCTCAAACCACTATCCTAGCCACTCTTTGTAATTTTCTACCAGCTCTTTCAAGTCTTCTTTCTCATGTCCTTCCAGCAAGACTAGCCTGCCTCCCATTGCTCTGATTTTGCAGAAGAAGATTCCCTCCATAAAGAATTTTTCTTGCAGGGTTGGAATCATTGTAGCCGAGTGAGCTGTTCCTACAAAGCAATTTTCCAGCCATTCATACTCATTCTGATTGACATTAAACTCCATTCCTGCCCATTCTTGATGTTGTTGTTTTGGCTTCCATCTCCATTTACTTTGTGCACTTGTCCTGGCGTTGTTGATTAGCTCTCTGTTACTAGTTCCATGATAATGCTTCGTTTTTTGTCCCCGATCCTGGTTTTCTGCCATTCTTCTTTTTACTACCTCGGCATACGATGGTTTCTGATGAGTTTCTGTCTCTGATGTATCCACACCTTTCGCTGTCCCATTCACCCTGTTTCCCATATTCATTTGCTTTTGAACTTCATGTCCTGTCTTCTGGAACCTGGGTTTGTTGGCTTGAAGTTTAAAGCCTCCAATATGAACTTGGTTTAGCTTTCTTTCCAGCTCTCTGTCATCCTTGACCTCCAAGAATCTAACAAAACCAAATCTCCTTCCCAGACGGTCCCTCTTTTTCGGACAGTCAATTTCGATTACCCTTCCCTCTCCCAATCTGTTGAATGTTCCCCACATCTCTTCAAAGGACCAGTCTTCGGGGAAATTTGTGAAAAAGAAAGGTGATGCTTGGTTGTAAATCTTCTTCTCGAATCCCCCGTAGTATTCCGTCGGACGGTTCCTGCTCTCCGGCTGAATTCCCTCATATCGATGTGCTCTCCTTCCTCGTCCTCTGTTGTCGGTCACCCTCTCCGGTGCTCTCTCTCTTTCTAACGCTCTCCCTCTCATCTCTAAGCTACCCCTGTACAAGTCTTGCACTCTAATATGGAAAACTATACTGAAATCTAGAAGAACAAGTCTTAAAATTGAATATGCATACGCACTGGGTGGTTTTTGTGTAGGGCAAGCCATTTTG